TATTGTGAGGGTCTGTTGGGAACGTTTAGCAGAATCCCCTGTCAGAGAGATCTTCAACTCCCGCCTCCGGCAGAGCTTTGACCAGATCCTGGGGGAGGCTGGAGATATTGAGTCCGAGTGTACCATATTCTCCACCTCCATTGTCGATGCGGCCGTTTGGAGCTGTGGCCGTAAGGTCTCCGGTGCCTGTCGTGGTGGCAATCCCCGAACCCGGTGGTGGACACCGGAAGTAAGGGATGTCATCAAGCTGAAGAAGGAGTCCTTTCGAGCCTGGTTGGCTCGAGGGACTCCTGAGACAGCTGACGGGTACCGGGAGGCCAAGCGGGTTGCAGCCCAGGCGGTTGCAGAGGCAAAAACTCAGGTCTGGGAAGAGTTCGGTGAGGCCATGGAGAATAATAATAATAAAGAAGATAAGAGTGTGGATGCGAGCATGTTTGGTCACTCAAATGTATGTTTGTGTTTATGGATGTATTAAGGAGAACAATGCGCTTATTGAAGCTGTTCACTCGTGAATGTTTCTTATAAAACCTCCATGTTAGCTACATGTCAGTTGGCACAAGGGGGTATACTTACTAAAGACATAAACCTTATTCTCTGGCACCAAACAGTGAAACTGCTTTTATTCATATTAACTAAGGAGTTGCAGTGGGATTTTGTGGCAGAGGGAGAGAAGGAATGTAGTTTCAGGAATTTGCATGCTGGGTCTCATGTAATATGTATTTTAAGGCGTTCCCTTCAGGAACACAAAAATAAGGGAGGGGAGAATGGAAATTTATATAAATAATCTCAGCACCTGATTTACCACTGCTGCAGTGGAGGGAACTGCGGCTGAAATTTAACATCAGAAGAAATCAGGTGTAAAATCTGCAACCCCGCTGTCAGCGTTGCAGATATTAGTCATCTGAGAACTTGTTGGAGTTAAGAACATGTCTGATGAAGGAAAGAATGTGAAGCACTTGTACAGGCTTTAAGGTCAAACCATGCTTCAGTTAATGAACAAAATAAAAGATGATTTGCAGCAGACCAGAAGCAGAGGTGTATTCAAATTAACACAGCTGCAACTGTGCTAATTTACATCAGTGTTGGTAAATACAAATAAAAAAAATTGCTGTACCGCATAATTTATTGTGACAGGTTTAGTAAATATCTGCCAATATGTTGTATAATTTAATGTTATTCACTCTTTCACACTACTTGGTAACAGCATCTTTTTGAAGTGTTGGTCAATGTCTGTGCCTTACATTCACTACATCTGTGCTCAGAGAGAGAGTGCAACGATCAGACTAGCATGTGAAACACACAGCTCTGTAAGGTTTCCTTTACTTTTACTTGGTAAACAGATCGAGCGATATATATCCAAATTATAATAAAGGTGCACAATTACTATACTATCTCTGCATAGTTCCCTTTAATTAAAACACATGTTGCGAACACCAAACCCTAGTTTGTAACTTTACTGCTTAGGTGCTATGTATATACACTGCTCAAAAAAATAAAGGGAACACAAAAATAAGACATCCTAGATTTGAATGAATGAAATATTCTTATTAAATACCTTGTTCATTACACAGTTGAATGTGCTGACAACAAAATCACACAGAAATTATCAATAGAAATCAAATTTAGCAACCCATGGAGGTCTGGATCTGGAGTGACACCCAAAATTAAAGTGGAAAACAACACTACAGGCTGATCCAACTTTGATGTAATGTCCTCAAAACAAGTCAAAATGAGGTTCAGTAGTGTGTGTAGCCTCCACGTGCCCGTATGACCTCCCTACAACGTCTGGGCATGCTCCTGATGAGGTGGCAGATGGTCTCCTGAGGGATCTCCTCCCACACCTGGACTAAAGCATCCCCCAACTCCTGGACAGTCTGTGGTGCAACGTGGCGTTGGTGAATGGAGCGAGACATGATGTCCCAGATGTGCTCAATTGGATTCAGGTCTGGGGACCGGGCGGCCAGTCCATAGCATCAATGCCTTCGTCTTGCAGGAACTGCTGACACACTCCAGCCACATGAGGTCTAGCATTGTCTTGCATTAGGAGGAACCCAGGGCCAACCGCATCAGCATATGGTCTCACAAGGGGTCTGAGGATCTCATCTCGGTACCTAATGGCAGTCAGGCTACCTCTGGCGAGCATATGGAGGGCTGTGCGGCCCCCTAAAGAAATGCCTCCCCACACCATTACTGACCCACTGCCAAACCGGTCATGCTGGAGGATGTTGCAGGCAGCGGAACGTTCTCCACGGCGTCTCCAGACCCTGTCACGTCTGTCACATGTGCTCAGTGTGAACCTGCTTTCATCTGTGAAGAGCACAGGGCGCCAGTGGCGGATTTGCCAATCTTGGTCTTCTCTGGCAAATGCCAAACGTGCTGCACGGTGTTG